TGCATGTTGGCTTTGTTTTTTTTTTTTTACTATAACTAGATTGTTTTGATATTCAAAACCTTACTTCAAATCGATCTAAATATAGAAGTTCAATGTTATTGTTTTCTGACATCTAACACTTCTTTTTAAGTCTTGTTGGTAACCAATTCAAGACATATTTGATGTCACGAATTATGGCGTAACATATTCTTTTGTCTGGGATATATACTAATTCTTTTTGATATTAAAATGTGGCTAAATTAGTCATATACTAAAACTACTAGTACTAGACATAGGTGTGTGTGTGTGTTTTCTTCGAGGATATTAGACCATCCTGGTCGGCCCCGTGAAAACCCACTTGGGGAGTATTTATAGCCCTAATCATTATTTGTCTTAATCATCATCATCTTCTGATGTAGCTGCCACAACTCGTCCACCATTGTTTTTTCTTTTCTCCCTTTTTTTCTCGATTATATTGTTCTTTGCACTCTTACACAATCCTTAATTTAACTTTGCACCGCCCATTATTAACAAGATTTGATTAGGAAAGCATTTAGTTTGATCAAACGTAATGCTTATTTATACGTAGAGGTCCTAGAGGATGTGGTTAATTAATCTTAAGTATTCAAGCCATGATATATATATATAAGTTTTAAAGTTGTACAATTAAGAGCTTATTTTTTTATATTTTTTGTTAATAATGAAGTTATATATGATACCTATGCCCATAATTAGTATGTTCATATTAGTGTAGTAATGAGCTTTACCTACTGATATGATATGATGTGAACTGATAGACTCCAACTTAGTTATAACATGCTAGTTTGGTTCTAGAAATCATGATTTTGCTTGAAAATAGTAGAAACTTGAGTTTATGTTGAAAGTTGAAACCCAATGTTTTGCTTTTTGATGACTCGCATGTTATTTGTGCCGAACCACGAATTTATAATTTTTTTCTCAAATTGAAAAGTTTGAAACTTAGCGTTAGAAATCACTAATAGATGATTGAATGCAAATATCAAAATATTTGTAAGTTTTGCACTGAACTCATCATATATAGAATCAAGATTTGGAGCCAAAGTTACAATGTTTTACGTCGGATTTTTGTAGTGGAGTGATCAAGATTTGGCATCATTTCGGAATAATTATATGTGAAAGCAAAAATTGTAAAATCACATCATCGCCATACTTGCTTTGGAATCGCAATATCGACATTGGCATAAAGTTTTAGAATAAAGATTTGACACTAATAAAAGAAATTTTTTGTTTAAGTATATTGTAACATTTTATATAACCAATGAACAATTATATTGTACTTATTTTTTCTTACACCAAAAGAAGTTTGGTGCCACAAATGAAAAACCAAAAAAAATATGGTTTCCTTCAATGAGAAAAAATTGTTATAGACCATTTCTAATTAATTTGATATCTATAATGGGCCATTATAAAAGGCCCATATAGTAAAATATAATTTGGGCCTACACTAATAATTTTTTCGACCCATAGAAACATTTTAGATCCGACCGTTCTGCGAGAGGAGGAAGCTCATCAGAGATCGAAGAAGAAGAAGAAGAAGAAGAAGGCAAATGCTTGAAGATCGTTTGTAGAAGAAATCCAAACGAAGCAGAGTAACAATGGCTTCGACGGTGGGATTAGCACCGGGACTTTCTCGGAAATTGAAGAAGGTATTGGAATGTCGTACAGATAGTCCGGATCTGGTGGCGTCGCTCAACGCTTTATCATCTTTCTACGACGAGAACAGTGCTCACGCACGGCGGAATCTCAGATCGACGATCGAGAAACGAGCGCTTCAGATCAACAGCGAGTTCCTAAGCGCGGCTGATTCGACTCAGATCGCATTGGATCGCGTGGAGGAGGAAGTGAATGCTTTAGCTGATTGTTGCGATAAGATTGCGGCGGCGCTAAGCAGCTCAGCGGCCACCACTAGTGATATTATTAGTACTACTGAGAGGCTAAAGCAAGAGCTTGATGTTACTACTCAGAGGCAAGAGATCGTTAACTGTTTTCTTCGAGATTACCAGCTTTCGAATGAAGAGGTGAGTGAGCTCTTGCAATCATTAACTTAATGGTGATCTGATATCTGTAGTATGAGATGAATGTTGATAACGGTGATGCAATTTTGGCAGATTAAAGCGCTTAGAGAAGATGAATTGAATGAGAATTTCTTCCAAGCGTTGTCACACGTTCAGGAAATTCATTCCAATTGCAAATTACTTCTCAGGACGCATCATCAGGTGAGATTTGCCATATGAACACTGTGTTTCACAAACTGTATATAGTTTTAGTGCAAATTGGATCGTCGTGGTTAGTATTGAGTGTGTGGGACGTTTGTGTATGCAGCGTGCTGGCTTGGAACTGATGGATATGATGGCTGTGTATCAAGAAGGAGCATATGAGCGCCTTTGCAGGTACATATCTGTTTCGTTGTTAGTGTTTGGCTTTAGCATGAATTTGTATTCGCTAGTTTGGAACCTAGATTGTGGTGTATCCTGAACTTCTCCACAATGTCTCTTTACATATTCGTTTCTTTCCAAGAAGACTTGTAGGCAGAAACTTAGTGTTTAGTAGTAGCATGAATTCCTCATTGCGAATTTGGAACCTAGATAGTTTGCTGTTCCTAATTTCTCCATTATGGTTCTTTACACTTGTTGGTTTGCTTTTGGAGTTCTACATTACGTAGTAGCTTGAAAATAAATAATTTCAGTCTATCCATATAGAAAGATTTTTGTCAAAGTATAGAAATAGAGGATCATATTAATTTGGTTCATTTTAGATCCACAAAAAAAAATTGAAACTTGAATTGGGTGAATGGAAACTGTTTTTCAAGAAAATTGTTTTGGAAAAGGGTACATCTTTTCGAAATCCGCCTAGTACCAGAAATGTGAGGTATCAAATATAACTAAAGAAACCTTGATCTTTTAGGTGGGTCCAGGCTGAGTGTAGGAAACTGGGTGATACAGATAACCCAGAGGTGAGTGAGCTTCTGAGGACCGCTGTTCGCTGTCTGAAAGAAAGACCTGTGCTCTTCAAATATTGTGCAGAGGAGGTTAGTCTTTCGACTTTAGTCTCTGTTGAACTATTATGATATGGGGCATGTAAGCCTGAGCTCCTTATGAACTACGTCAAATGATACAGGTAGGAAATTTGAGGCACAATGCGTTATTTAGAAGGTTTATTAGCGCTCTTACACGTGGAGGACCTGGAGGAATGCCCAGACCCATTGAAGTTCATGCTCATGACCCCTTACGATACGTGGGAGACATGCTTGGGTGGCTACATCAGGTTTGTGACGACATTTTCTTCTTCTATGATCCCCTCATTTTGTCCTCTGGTGGTTTGATAACTGTCAGATCAAGTGTGTGAATTGAGTATTGGATAAACATAGATATAAAACTCAGTATCATGTCACCGTTTTTTCTTTCCTAATGTGATGTTGTTGGTTGCAGGCTTTGGCATCAGAAAGAGAATTGGTTCATGCTTTATTTGACATAGACGCAGCTGATTATAAATCAACTGCAAAGAATACATCTGAGAATAATGCACTAAAGGCAGCAGAATCTGATTTTACATTTGTCCTGGATAGAATTTTTGAAGGAGTTTGCCGCCCATTTAAAGTGAGAGTCGAACAAGTTCTGCAGTCACAACCAAGTCTTATTATTTCTTATAAACTGACCAATACATTGGAGTTCTACAGCTACACTGTGAGTTTTTGTTTAACCTCTTTTCGTACTCGTTTCTCAACATGTGATATGTCATTTATCGCCCTACTGGTTTCATCATCGGTTTCTTTTTCGCCTTGCAGATCTCAGATTTACTTGGGCGAGACACTGCTTTATGTAATACAATTGGGATGGTGAAGGATGCTGCACAGAAAACCTTCTTTGACATTCTTAAAACCCGAGGGGAGAAACTTCTACGATACCCTCCACCTGTAGCCGTTGATCTCTCTCCTCCTCCTGCTGTCCGAGAAGGAATTTCTCTAACGCTTGAGATAATCGAGAATTACAACAGCATGATGGTTTCCGCTTCAGGAGAAAAACCGGCTTTTGATCCTGTCCTTTCTGCACTGCTTGACCCAATCATCAAGGTAAATGAAAGTAGAAGCAAACTTATAGAATATCTTTTCCACTGTAATGATATTTTCATTGAAGCAAAAATTTGAACTTTCTCAAATTCGCAGATGTGTGAGCAAGCTGCAGAGGCGCACAAATCAAAGAAGAGCGGGCAGTTACCAAGAAGAAGCAGAACAAGTACCGACTCAAGCCAGTTAACGTCAGTTGATGCTCTACTCTCTAGCAGCCCAGCCCATCCCCAGGTATCATTTGCATATACAAAACCGTTAGAACGGTTTATGCGTCAATGTTTTAAACCCGAAGCGATGTTCATAAGTTTCATTTCTTCTTTTTGCAGAACAACGAAACACCCTCTAAAATATTCCTCATTAACTGTCTATGCGCGATCCAACAACCGTTGCTAAGACACGATGTTGCATCCCAATACGTAACCAACATTGGATCAATGATCGAAAACCATATAAACCTCCTTGTCCAGAATGAAGTTGACACACTACTCCAAAAGTGCGGTCTTCTAGACAAAATGCACATCTTCCGCTCTTCCACATCCGAACTTCCCTTGTCTGAACGACAAGACACGTCACCAGCAACACTCTCCGAATGCCTCAAGGCATTCTTCGGCCTCGTTTTGGGAAGTGAAGGCTCTCTTCCTGAGTTTGAGCAGATACAAGTCCCTAAGCTCAGATCTGAAGCTTGTGTCAGGGTTGCTAAAACTTTAGCTGAAGCTTACGAAGTTATATACCAAGCTGTAACAGATCAACAAAATGGCTATCCAGATCCAAAATCTCTCGCCCGACATCCACCAGATCAAATCCGAACCATTCTTGGTATATGAATGTACGCTTCTTATTTTTTTCCAATTATCTTACGAATCAACACTTGTAAAACCAAACCAAACAATCAATTCATCTTTTCATCTAAATTCTCTTTTCTTATATATATATAATATTTACATATCAGGTTCATCAATTTCTTTATCTATAGTTTGTTATATCTGAAAGTGGGCTTCGTTCAAAAGCATGTCGTCTGCTTTGATGCCAGTGGCTTTCATCTGATAGAGAAGCTTAATGGCTTCAATGTAAAACCCATTCTGCATATAACCTGCGACCATAGCGTTCCAGCAACTAACACTTGTCTCATCTTTCCTACTCTTGAACACCTTTTCCGCGTCTTTCACCTTCTCATACTTCCCATACATCTCAATTAACTGACATCGGATCAAACAGTCAGATTCAAACCCGAGCTTTATAGCATTCGCATGCACTTGTTGCCCGCTTCTCCCACCATCACTCACCCATGTGCATGCTTTTAGAACATTAGAGACCACTGAGACGTTCTTCTTGACCCCGAGCTTACCCATTTCAATGAAGTCGCGGATTACCTCTTGAAACTCCCCTTCCCTATAATCGTTAGTAACCTTCGCCGCCCAAACAACAGTGTTAGCATTGGAGAGCTGGTGTAGCACAAGATTAGCGTCTTCCAAACACCTGAATTCACCGTAGAAACGTATCAAAGAACCCAAGAGATATGAATCTTCTTCTCCAATAAACCCTAGCTTCTGACACAAACCATGAACCTGTTTCCCCAACGCCAAGTCTCTAATCATAGCACACGCTTTCAACACACACCCCATAATCCAAGACGGAATCTTGAAAGCACCACCGTTCTTAGAATGTTTCAACATCGCCACAAAGAGCAAAGCAGCGTCTTCGTAATCACCCATTTCAATACAACCGAGGAAAACAATAGCCCAGGAATGAAAATCTCTGTGAGGCATTTTATCGAACATGTTGCGTGTAATATCCAAACGCCCACAAGACACGTGCATCAGAAGAAGACGATTGACAAAAGTGGTACTGGGTCTTATACTAGACTTCATGATATGCACTTGTAGCTCATAAGCTCCACGTCGATCGTTTTCTCTGGCTGATTCTTTAGCAAGACAAGAGTAAAGGTCTTCGTTTCCAGGTAGAGAAAGAGTATCCATTAATCTGAGAATGTCAGAAATCGAACAACGAGGACTTGATTTTTGCGTCGTCTGAATCTGTGGTTGTTGAATCACGACGACTGGTTCTGATTTTTGGTGTTTGGGTTTCCTTAGCAAAAGCTGAACATCGAAGCTTGTTCTGACTTCGTTTCCGACGCTTCGTGCGACAGAGTTGTAGTTGAAAGAAGGAACTAGAGATGGTGGAGATGGAGTTAACGCTATTTCCAGATTTCTCATTTTTGCAACCGGAGGAAGAAGAGCTTTAAAGCTTCAGAGCTTTCACAGAACTATTCAAAGTTTGGAGATTTATATATACAATCGAGAAAAAATGTTTATTTTTTATTATTTTTCTCTTATCTCACAGAGAAATTAGAGTGAAATTAGAGTGACCAGAAAAATTACATTTTGTAGAAGAAGAAGAAGAAGATGAAGCAAAACCGGTTCGGTTCAATCTCTAATCAGGTCCGGTTTATTTTATTGGTGGCGAATCACGTAACCGGCTCGATTTAAAATTAGTTTGGCAAGCGCGTTTAAGGAAACTAATCCAAAAAAAATCTTTCACCTCTTAAATAAGAGATAATGCGTATACGTTAGTAAAAAGTACACGTGTCACTTCTTCTTCGTCTTCTCCACTTAACACACTGCAATTTTCGAAATTTCTCATGGTTTTAAGATTAGTGTGAGTTCTGTGATTCTTTGAGGTTTATGGCTATGGCGTTTCCTCTTTCGTATAATCCAATCTCTGTTAAACCGGTAACGTACTCACGGAGATCGAACTTTGTAGTTTTCTCTTCGGGTTCTAATGGAAGAGATCCTTCTGAGGAGAACTCAGTTCCTAACGGAGGTAAAAGCATCGAGAAGCTTCAAGAGGAGAAGCGTCGTGCTGAGTTATCTGCTCGGATTGCTTCTGGTGCCTTCACTGTTCAAAAATCTAGGTGAGTTTCCAAGGACGACCAATCATATATCTTTGTCTGAGTAAAGACAAGAGATTTGTCATTTTAGTTCAGTTTCGAGTTTCTGGACATAGGAAGATGTTGATGATGTTGCATTGACTCTGTAATTGTTTGGTCTTGATTCTCTGATTGTGGTTTTGATTCTTGTTTTATTTTTGTCTATGTACAAGTTTTCCATCTACAGTGAAGAATGGTTTATCTAAGCTTGGAGTTCCCAACAATGTTCTTGATTTCATGTTTGATTGGACTGGTTCTGACAAAGACTACCCCAAGATTCCAGAGGCTAAAGGCTCGATTCAGGCGGTCCGTAACGAGGCTTTCTTCATCCCTTTGTATGAGCTTTTCCTTACTTATGGTGGAATTTTCAGGTTGACCTTTGGGCCAAAGGTTTGTTTTTTCTTGTTCATCTTTGAGTATGGTCTGTTAACTAAGGATACAAAGTATTGGTTGATGATAAGTGTGAATTTTGTGTTGGTGGTAGTCGTTCTTGATCGTCTCGGATCCTGCTATTGCTAAGCATATATTGAAGGACAATGCTAAAGCTTACTCTAAGGTATAAACCAGTAGCAGTACTAACGATTTTACCGATGAATATGGTCTAGTTTCGTGCTTTTCCTTATATTTCTACTTGTAAATCTTAGGGGATTTTAGCTGAAATTCTAGATTTTGTGATGGGAAAAGGACTCATACCAGCTGATGGGGAGATATGGCGTAGAAGAAGGCGAGCGATTGTTCCTGCATTGCATCTAAAGGTAACAAATTTGTCACAAAGTATGATTCTTTAAGTTGAAAGATATAATCAATTTGTTTGCATTTTCTCTCTTTTTTATAGTATGTAGCAGCTATGATTAGCTTATTTGGACAAGCTTCGGATAGGCTTTGTCAGAAGCTTGATGCTGCTGCATCAAAAGGGGAAGAAGTAGAGATGGAATCACTCTTCTCTCGTTTGACACTTGATATTATCGGCAAGGCGGTTTTCAATTACGACTTTGACTCCCTAACAAATGATACTGGTGTGATCGAGGTTCTCTCATGATTACTCCATTTGCTTTCAGTTTGTTTTTACCATTATGTGTGTTGGATCTGCTAGGATGAAAGCTTTTTGTGTTCTCTCTGTTAGGCAGTTTACACTGTTCTTAGAGAAGCTGAGGACAGAAGTGTTTCACCTATTCCTGTTTGGGACTTACCGATTTGGAAAGATATTTCCCCGCGTCAGAGGAAAGTTGCTACTTCCCTGAAACTGATCAATGACACACTTGATGAACTAATAGCAACATGCAAGGTTTAACTCGGAATTAAGTCCAAGAATTGTTCATACTCTTTGGATCCTCCTTACATTTTCTTGTTACAGAGAATGGTTGAAGAGGAGGAGTTGCAGTTTCACGAGGAATATATGAACGAAAGAGATCCTAGCATCCTTCACTTTCTTTTGGCTTCAGGAGATGATGTAATAGTCCATATTTTGTTCGAGTCCAATTGTCTGATAGTTATGGATCTTAATTAATCTGTCTTTATTTCCAATTTGTTTTAGGTCTCTAGCAAGCAGCTTCGTGATGACTTAATGACAATGCTTATAGCCGGACATGAAACATCAGCTGCAGTATTAACATGGACCTTTTACCTTCTAACAACGGTAGAGAGCGAACACTGAACATTATCAACCTTAACAAAGCAGTTAATTTGCTCCCAAAGAAAATTGTATAACTTTTGTTGGTATTTTGCAGGAACCCAGTGTAGTTGCCAAGCTCCAAGAAGAGGTAGGGATACATCATTCTTGCAAATGATCTTACAAGAACATTCACATGTTAAAATGAACTGTTTGATTTTATGTAGGTTGATTCTGTTATTGGGGATAGATTCCCAACCATAGAAGATATGAAGAAGCTGAAATACACTACCCGAGTCATGAATGAGGTAAAATGCAATAGACTTTGCTGGTTGAGGAAAAAAGCTCATTGGATTTACCTTTTTACTTTAATGTTATGCAGTCATTGAGACTATATCCACAACCACCAGTACTGATACGTCGTTCTCTAGAGAACGATATGCTTGGACAGTATCCCATAAAAAGGTTAGGAAATTCCAACGCTGTGGTTTTTGTTTGTCTGCGTTTTGGCAACTAGTATGCGTTCAAGAATGCAATTTTTTATAAGTTCTTATAAAATATTGTGTTTGGATAACTAACAGGGGAGAGGATTTCTTTATCTCGGTTTGGAATCTACATCGAAGTCCTCTACATTGGGATGACGCGGAAAAGTTCAATCCCGAGAGATGGCCTCTAGATGGACCAAACCCAAATGAGACTAACCAAAACTTCAGGTAAAAATCATTTTGCTTGTCACTTCTCATTTTATAATCTGATTATACGAGGAACTTTTCTTCTCCAGTTACTTACCTTTTGGTGGAGGACCGCGGAAATGCATAGGCGATATGTTTGCTTCGTATGAGGTAAAGAGTTAACTGACATCAATACTTGTTGAGTACCTGCTTCAGATGTTCTTGTAGTGACAGAAATCTCTGTTTGTAGAATGTGGTAGCAATCGCAATGCTTATTCGAAGATTTAACTTTCAGACTGCACCAGGGGCTCCTCCGGTATAGTCATCAGCAAAATCCTCATGTTCAATCTCAAAACAACACAAATATTATAAAACTGCGCTAAGATAACGCTTGAAACGCAAAACTGAAATATCACTGATGATTAGTTTGTTTCTCGAAATTGTTTTGTGGATGGACAGGTGAAAATGACGACGGGGGCTACAATACACACAACAGAAGGGTTGAGATTGACAGTGACAAAGAGGACAAAACCTCTCGACATACCATCCGTACCAATACTTCCAATGGATGCTACCCGAGATGAAGTTCCCACTGCTCTGTCTTAAGTCTTCATCTTTGCAAATCTGAAAACAAACAAGCTCAATTGAAGAAGCAAATGCTAGAACAACAAATGTACAATTTATTAAAATTGATCAGTGCTTCTGATTATTTCTCAGTACTATGTTATGTAGACAAGTAAAATGTAGACATTTATTATTCTTTGGAAATAAATGTTTTTGTCTGCACAGTGAAGATAATATAACTTTTGGATTCTACAATTTAAATATTTTTTAGGACATAAACACAAACCTCTGATTTTTACATCAATGAAGTGATCAGAGATAAAAAAAACACTTCCATCTAACATCATAGAAGTTGACTACTTCGTCTAGGATCTAGGACAGATCTCTGCTCTTGTTCCGTATGTGCAACATTGACTCCTATAAACAAAAAAAAAGCTTTTCTCGATCGGACATCTTCAGGTCATCAGTTAAAGACTGAGGTTTGTTCAAGTTCTATGTCTATGGATCTGCTGGATAAGATCGTTATCGTTATCAGCGCCATCTTTCTTTGTCGCTGACTTCTCCTTTATTGCTTCTTTCTCCAGTTTTTTCTTCTCAGCCTCGGCTTGCTTTTCATTCTCCTCTCGAGATTTGATGAACGTCTTCATGAAAAGGGTCAGAATCTTGGTCACTGTAGATGGAAACAATGGTCAGATTAAAAATGATTAGATGCACTGGGATGATTAGATGCACTCGTCCCAGAATGGCTTTCGAATATCTAGAAGGAAGATATGTGTGCCATGTACCTTGCTCGAAAGGACATCGAGCTGGATCCTCACCGAAGTAGTGAGACAAAGAATCTGCATTTCTTCCCTGTGAATTTACATATATAGTTAATATTAGGATTGGAACATGAGTTCGAATTGCTTGTCCCAGAAGGTTGTAAGTAACTGATGAGTTGTTATAACTCACCACTTCTGAATATAATGAAGCAAGTGTCTTCACTTCCTCATCAGCGGTATCAAGAAATTCCTTCAAGACCTGAAATCATAAAGTAATCTCATTTGAAACAACTGCGAAGATTTTGTGGTCCGTATCATTTGCCAATGAATTAACCACAATGCATTCCTGATATACGTATGAGCAAACTAAGAACACATGTTCACGTGTAGCTTACCTTCCGGAAGCCCAAAGAAATTGCACCATCATTTTCTGAAGCCATGAGTTCTTGCTCAACCTTTTCGAGGCCTTTAGTTGCTGCTTGCATTTCTTCAGCCAACGTTTTCAATTCAATCTGCAATATTCAAAAACAATCGAGGCAAGTGAAAAAATAAGAAGGCGGAAGCTCTAACATCTAGCACAAGAAAAGAAATGAGCATGAATAACAAGCATACCTTTGATGCAGCCTCTAAGTGAACAAGGTCATTGGCAAAATCCAGCAATTCTGGCATTTTCTCACCAACAAGCTAAACGGTAAAAAGGAAATAAGGTATTAAGTTCATCTTCAAACAGCACCTTAGCAACTAACTGCATAATAAATAATATGATGCACTTCTAGCACGCTCTGAAAA